TCGTATTAAAATGCTATGTGAAGAATAGTTCGGAATCATTTCACCAGACTTTCAATTGCAATGTAATCATGTTCTGGACTCTAAAGAATTCTAATTGATTGATAATCAATTTGACTTCTTTAACCAAATGACAACTTCTTGCCTCGTTGATCCTAATACCTAATTAAACCTCCCTAATTCCTTAGGTGAAATTCAATCAAATATTGCATTAAGTTCTGGAAATTATAGGATTACTAGATTATGATACTTATTCATAAGATCTCAATAACCTAGGCATATGATTCAGATATGAGAAATAAACTCAATTTTCATTGATGAGGATTCCTCTAGGTTCAATTGAATGAAGGATTAGTTCACAATTGCATTAAGAACATAATCACATACTCAATTCAATCAAAACCTCAAGGTCCAAATCAAAAATTACATCACAATATCAAATTTGGATCCATAGATCCCTAACAAAAAGAAATCAGAACATGTTCCTAAAAGAAAAAGAGAGAGAAAGAGTAGAAGAAGAGGAGCTGCAGAATTTCTTCATAAATCCAATCCCCAGCCTGATTCCTCAAGGTCCAGAAGCTGGAAGTCGCCTCCAATCTCCTTCTCTAACTCTCCTAAGATGTAGAAATGAAAAGAAAATAAAAAATGGCAAAAGACTACCAATTCTGAACTCTTAACTTCTATTTATAATATTTTTTCCGCCTTTTCTACTTCCACACTTTAATCTCTGAGGATTATAGCATGAAAGGTCTTCTAGAAGCTTCTATAACTAAATTAGGAACTCAAATCGTCCAAAGTTGACACTTAGAAGTGATATTTAAAATTCTGTTACTTTTGCGAAGACACTCTCTACACTTAGAGTGTCTATGCGCAGCTTTGCGTAGCTACTCTCAGTGCCTAGAGTGGCTACGCACTTACTACGTAGCAACTCTGAGCACTTGAAGTGGCTACACGCTCAATTGCGTAGCTACTTTAAACCCTTGAAGTAGCTACGCGCACTATGCAATTCTGAATTGGCCTTGAGCGTAGCTACTCTGAACACTTGAAGTGGCTACACGCTCTCTCTGTAGCTATTCTAAACACTTGAAGTAGTTACTCTCTTGATCTTCATGAATTTTCTTCTTCAAAGTGTTCACTCTATGTACTCAGAGTGATTACGCCTTACACATAACACTTGATTCTTCATCTTTTAAGCTCAATTCCTCTACTTTCTTTACTTCAATCTCAACTCAATTTCTCAACTCAAACTTCTGCACAAGAATTTAGTCATTTTAAGTCAAATTGTTCAGAATTAGACCAAATATCTAAGATTCTAAACTATTTATACAATTATGAATATTAATGCAATTTTTATGATATTTTGAAGTTTATTTACTATTTAACTCTTTATTTACTAATAAAAACTAGGCTAAAAATGTAGTAAAATGTGGATTTATCAACCATTACAAAATGAAAAGAGAAAGAAAGAGAAGAAGAAGATAAATGAAGAAGCATCTTCAAGCCAATCTTCAATCTAATTCCTCAAGATTTGAAGCTTGGTGTTCGTCCCTAATCTCTCTCTCAGACTCTCTCAACACCAGAAAACATATGGAAAGTAAAAATGAACAAAAGATTCCAACAGATCTTAGCTAACTCTTATTTATAGAATTACCGCCTTTCTGGCGTGGTCACTATTTTTCACTATAGTAGCCACGTAAAGGCCTTTCTGATAATCTTCATGACTGGAACGATCACTATTATTCATAAAAGTAGCAACCTAGAGGTTCGTGGTTTGCGCGTGTTCACTTTCGTGAACAATTAGTTGACCTTCAGGAATTTCAGATGGAATTTGGAATTAAAAGTAACAAATATTAAATTCAGAAAGGAAACAGAACACTGAACATGCAAATGTGTGATTAACAGATGTGGAAGACATAGCTAGGGAGTTGTTTCACCAAAACTTCAATGTTGAATCAATAAAGTTCTGAAGTTTCAAAGAATTAGAAAGAATGACAATCAGTTTCATGTTATATTATTCAAAGGTTAATTCCTTAACTCAATGAATCTAACATTCAAATCAAATCACTCTAATTCCTTAGATCTGGTTCAATTAAATGTGGCCTTAAGTGTTAGAAACTAGAAGATTGCAAGATCAAGTTCTCTTATCCCTAAGAAAGCTATAATCCTGGTAATTGATTCAAATCTAAGAAACAAATCCAATTTTCATTGACAAGAGTTCCTCTGTATTTAGTTAATCAAATTTCTATTCAATCACTATGTAAAGTGCAGAATCAATCACTCAATCCATTCCAAAACTCAAAAGCCAGATACAGAATCAATTCAACAAATTCTTTTGGATCCACAATCCCTAACTATGAAGAAATTACGCAACCATTATAGCAGAGAAAGAAAAAGAAAGAGAAGAGGAGAGTGAACGCAGAAGAGTCATCTTTAATCGATCTTCAATCTGATTCCTCTAGGTTGAAGCTCAATGTTTGTCCTCAATCCCTCTCTCAGACTCTCTCCACACCAAAAAAACTAAGTGGAAATGAAAAATGAACCAAAGATCCAAAAATCTGAGCGCTTCTGCAATTTATAGGTTTTCCCGCCTTCTGCGCGTTATCACTTTTCTTCACAAGAGTAGCCACGCAGAGGCTTATCTAGTGTTCTGGAAGACTGGAATGATTACTTTCATCTAGAAAAGTGGCAACGCTAGAAGTCGAGTTGTGCGCGTGTTCACTTTCATGAGTAAAAGTGGCCACGCACAAGTTGCAAAGCTGAAGGTCTCTCTGGAACAATCACTTTTATGGGTAAGAGTGGTCACGCGCAAGTTGCTATGAATGAAGCTCCTCTGGAACATCCACTTTCACCAGCGAAAGTGACAACACGCTCTTTGTTGTGAATGAGGTTCCTCTGGAACGTTCACTTTCACCAATGAAAGTGTCAACGCGCAACTTGCTAAGTTTGGAGCTTGTCTGGAACGCTCACTTTCACCAGCGAAAGTGATAACGTGCACTGTGTTCTTCAAAGAAAGCCTCTAGAACACTCACTCTTGTGAATAATAGTGATTACGCACAGACTCCACTTCTCATTTAAGCTCTGGATCAATCACTTTCACTGACAATAATAATCACACCCAGCCATAAGCCTTGTTCTTTGAGTCCAGATTTGCTACTTTTCTTCTATCTTTCCATTGATCTTCCATCTTCATGAACTTTGCTCAGAATTTTCTACAAAAACATGCTTGAATTATTAATTTCTACACAAAAATTTCACAATTGCTGAAATAACTATGTATTTAAAGACAACCTTCAATCATTCTATTTTTATAAGTTTTTCTACTTTTTCCAACATATTTTCTTTATTAAATGGATTAAAACTATAGTAAAATACTAGTCAAAATGTGGATTCATCAAATAGTTACAGAGATACACTGGGGGTTGCAGGTGGTGATAAATCTATCTTTTACTAATATTTTACCATAGTTTTTAATACATTTGATATAGAAAACATAATGGAGAAAGCTGAAAAACTAATAAAAATAATAGAATGTTTAACTAGTTTTTAATACGTTTTCTGAACTTTGTACTTGTTAGTTTGCTTTCAAATGCTACAAACTCCAATTCAATTGCGTTAGGCTCAACTAATTGTTGAATTGTGAAGTGATACTTGAAAAAACTATTCTATAAGGACGATATTTGGGATTCAAACATGATTCCAAGATTTTATAACTTGCTACAATAATACTAATACACTTGCTAGTCAATTTCACTTTTAGTGCAACTGTTGAGAAAGTAACATCATTATACTACAGTATTTATTTGGTGCTCTTAGAGCACTGTTATATGAACATTTTATGACAATATGTGGTTGAGATAGCTATTGTGTGAATAAGGAATAAAAAGATGTTTGTTTGATTGTTTGGATTGATTGGCTGGTTAGACTAAATAATTGGTACATGCAATATGTGATGAGCACTTAATGTGAAATATTATTGAACTTGCTGAGTTGTTATTATGAGATTTTATGAAATATATCTGAATAAAATAATATGCTAAAATGATATTGATCTGAAAGGAGTTAACAGTTGTAATTATATCAATAAGTGTATGAATGGAATGGATTGAAATGAAATTAGTCTAAAAGTGCTTCACTAAGCACAATCTTATGAGTGGGAAAAAGGATAACTCTAGAAATGACCTAAAAGTCAAATATAGATTGGATCTAGTGTGAATAGTTACAAAGATACACTAGGGGTATGGAGTCTGGAGATGATGAAAATCTGGGGGAAACGTAGGGTGGTGAGCGACATTCGCGTATGTGTACACACTCTTTCTGAGAGCGAATGCGTCACATGGCCTCACACTCGTTTCCTAACTAGACTCCTGATATGCCTTTGCTAAGGGACTCAATTATTGTACATGTTGTATCTGTGTGCACGGGCTAACAGGTGATTATTTACCTAGTTGAGTAAGACCTCAAGAAATGTTGAAGGCATCGATATTTGTTATCACAGTGCACTGGGAGTGCGTATTGGAATAAGAGAATGGATAATGGATAATAAATTGTTGAATAGTGTGTGATGTGAATATGTTTGTAATATGAATTTGTGAGATTGAATGTTATTGTATTTACGTTATAAATTATGATTCTATGATAAATGTTTTGTAAATGATAGAATATACACTCATCCTTGCTAATATTTTCAAGAAAACAGGATGACGTAGCCTCAGGGCAAGATGGTAAATACCCAAATTGGAGGACTAGTGAGACAAGACTGAAGGCCTCCAAGGTTCCCTAGAGGACCTTACTCATGTACTAATCAGGCTCACTCAAGGGGGATCGCATTTTAGAGAGGTAGTAGCAGTGGCTCCAACTTTTCAAGAGGACCACTGAGATGCTTTATATGTGGAGGACCCCATCTAGTAAAGAATTGCTCACAGCCACCATCGGCTTGTGGAATTTGTGAGAAGACAGGGCACTCAGCTAATAATTGTTGGTCATCTCCTCAACGGAGTGGGAGTATGAGTACAAGTAATCGGCCTGCATCCAGTGCAAGTAGTGGAGCAGAGCTGAGTGTGCAGGTAAAAGTTTTTGCCATGAGTGGGTCTGAAGCGTCCAAGTTTGATGAGTTGATTAAAGGTAAATGCATCATCAATAATAGACTGTGTGATGTCTTGTTTCATTATGGTGCCACACATTTCTTTGATTCTATGGATTGTGTAAATTGTGTTAAACTGCCAATATCTTCCCTACCATGTGATGTTCACTTGTCTACTCCTACTGCTAAGCCTGTTGTAACCTCTTCTGTATACTTAGGCTATTTTGTGATGATTCATGGTAGAAATTTCTGTGTGGATTTAATTTGGTTATCACTTTCTCAACTCGATGTTGTTTTGGGTATGGATTGGTTGTCATCCAATCGTGTTCTGTTAGATTGTAAGGAGAAAGCTTTAATTTTTTGTGATGATACACTAGGAAAATCTAGACTTCTAGACATGGATGAAGCGAGAAATACGATTGAAACTAAGCCTTTCATGGTATTATTTTCTGTTAAGATTGATAAGGCCACGAAAGCTGAGTGTATTCTAGTAGTACGAGATTTTCTAGAAGTTTTTCTAGAGGATGTAACCAAATTGCCATTAGAAAGAGAAATTGAGTTCACTATTGATTTGATTCCGGGAGCAAGCCCAGTATCTATCTCACCATATCGAATGTCACTAGTGGAGTTAGCTGAGGTGAAAAAGCAAGTGGAAGATCTATTGAAAAGACAATTTGTAAGGCCAAGAGTGTTGCCGTGGGAGCTTGATGATGGGTTTTTTCCTTGAGGTGTTTAAAAGATTTGTTGCAAATCCTCACCAAAATTTAAACAATTTAATGTAGTACTAGGGTTACCCTAGATTGTCTCCCGTGAACATTGGCTATTAATCTTCATTAAACATGTTGAGGGTATTAATTGAATAAACAATTAAAATGGGGGGGGGGGGTTGTGGTTTCAAATCAAAATAAAGAGCAACGAGCAAACATGTTTAATTAATTCAAACAATAGAAAACAACAATCCTTAGTTTATCCATAAAGATTCTATCCTCATTCTACTCAAGATTTAACATTCATCCTCCCTCCTATGAATTAGGTTAATTTAACAAGCAAAAATCAACCTTATTGTCCTAACAAAATTACGCAATTTGCTAGGCTCTAATCTCTCATCCCAAAGTTACGCAACCTTAGAATTAAACGTAGGATTAAACAATCCCACCATTAATTCAATTCAAGAGACAAGGAAGAAGTAATTCATGAGAAGAAAGAAATTATATTATCATTAAAATCAAGGAACTCAAGAATCCGTGTGAACTTACTAAAGATTACACAAAATTTAGCCCTCCATGGAAATGGGGGTCAAAAACGCAATTGGGAAATGTAGAAAAATCATTAACATTAATGTAAAAGCAAGAGAAATGAGAAACCAAACCCTAGGTTGGACCTTTGGCTATCACCTAAGGTTGCCCGAAGCTCTGGAAAATCGTCCTAATTTAGTAAGGAAGAGAAAAGGTATATATAGTGTAAGAACTCCCTACCCTAATTTGGTAAAAATCTATTTATACTAAAGTTGGCGCCCTCCAAAGTAATTACTTTCATTCTTTCATAGTAGTCATACGCAACATCAGTTGGGTTTTGCCTTTCTGGAGTGATTACTATGAAAGTTCATAGTAACCACACTAGGACATTTTGGACTCTCTGGAGTTGTCACTATGAACTTTGATAGTAACTACGCGCAACAGCTTCAATTTTGCAAGCTCTGGAGTGATTACTATGAACTTTCATAATAACCACGCGCAGGTTTAGTGGATTCTGGGATGCTGTAGTTGTCACTTTAAGCTTTGAAAGTGATCACTTTGGTCCCTTTGCTAGAAGTGGCTTGCTTTAGTTGTCACTATCAATCTTGAAAGTAAGTTACTTTCACCTCAAATTCCTCAAAATCCAATAATTCTTCAAAATAAGCTTGGGGATTCCTGCCACATTATTCAAATGATCAAAACATGTAGAATAAACTATATAAATCAATGTAAATTAACCAAAAACTAAGAAACCTATATTATTTAGCCTAATTGGAATATTCATCTTATTTACACTATCTAAGTCTATTCTTTTTTATAAAAAGTAATAAATGATGTATAAAAATTTAGTAAAATGTGGATTCATCACAACCCCAAACTTAAACTTTTGTTTGTCCTCAAGCAAACCAAAATTCAAGGACTTAAGTAAAAAGGGCTGGACTTATCCAAAAACATTTTCTCAAAATTTTTTTGCTCCAATCTTTAAACTCTAATATACACTTCCTCCATTTCAAAATCATGGAGTCATTCAACAAAGAAAGCACACTCATATCAATTAATTTTATGCAAATTCCCATACAAGTGAAACAAAAATTCAACAAAGTTCATTATACTTCACACAATGCAAAGAAATTATCTAGCTCACAAGGTGGTGTTTCACTTTTCACTCGTCAGTGTTGTAGGCTAGGTATTTTCCCTCAATACATGCAAATTGCTCTACCCTACCATATGCTTCCCATATTCTCAATCTCCTTTCCCTTAATACAATGATTTACCTATCAAAAGGACTTGGTTGGTCACAAAGAGGGATAGGTAAGGTTCAATTTGATCAAGGAGGGTCAAAAGCTCAAGTGGGTTTTCAAGATAGGGGAATCCTTTTGAGTGAGTGAATACAACAATTAGAATGAAATGCATCAAATGAGGTAGCCTAAGAGGTTCAAGCATTTTTTTACCTTGTTTTTCATCATTTCTCATTATGTGAAGATCTCTTCAATCTCTTGGACCTTACTTCGTTTCATTTTAATTTTCTTTTTCATTCTTTCTTTTATGATTTCTTGGACTTTGGCAACCACCTTTTTTTTTTTTGACATATATTAGTAACATGTATGATGTCCACCACCCCAAACTTGAGAGGTTGCTTGTCCTCAAGCAACTATCATCAAAATCAACACCCCAAACTTAGTATTTGCATTCACTCTTGATGTTACTCAAAAGAAAGACGTTCTTGATGGGAGAAAAAAAATGTTTTGGCAAACTAAGTTTGGCAAAAAATGGGAATGTAATACAATAAGGTGCAAGGCTGGGCAATAGTGAGTGTGTGTGTGTAAAGGAGGCCTCAATCATCTAGATAAAAATTGCATAATGCATATTCAAATAAGAAACAGGGCAAGTTCTAGAAGATAGATGAAAAACTACATGGAACATACACACAGAAGGGAAATTAGGGGCTCAATTCTCTACCATGGTAAAAATAGTGATAACTACTGATGATGTGAGAATAATTCACCTTGCAAGAAAAGATATTCAGCATGGCATGGAGAGAAAGTTATTTACAAAAGTAGAGTGTGTTTATGAATTTAATGAAAATTGCAGTAAGAGTCTAGAATTGGAATTACAAAATTGGATTCAATGAAAAAGAAAAAGAACAAAGATATATTTTTGTATTTTGATGTATAATTGTGCAAAAAAAGTGAGGTTAAGAGTATATGAAATAAAGGCAGTGAACTTCACCCCTCTTTCATGAATGATAGTGCCTCAACTCATGGGCAACAAAAATTGATACTCCTCTTGATGGAACTGAGGGCATTCTCTGCACAAAGAGACAATAAATTCAGTACCAGAAGAACAAAATAACTCAAACTCAGATAATATATATATACAGCATAAAAGAGTTAAGTTGTTGTTCAAAGTAGAAGCAATAAAGGAAAATTAAAAGCAGGAAAAATAAATGGAAAAGTATACTAATTACAGGGAAATTAGCAAAAAAAATATGTACAATGAAAGAGGAGGTTAAATAAATAACAGAAATAGAAATTTCAAGCTAAAGTGCATCCTCATCAAAGCTGGAGGAGAGGTCATCATCAGCTGCATCAGTGTCGATGTTCTCATCATCTTGCTCATCTGCTGCTGCTGCTGGGTCTGGTACTGGCTCCCCCTCTGAGCTACTATCTTCCTCTTCCTCCTCCTCTTCTGCTGTAGGTGTGAAAGGCAGAAGATCATTCTAAACAGCTGCTCTAAGATAAGGGGCTGAGAAAGTGGGGGCATAGTAGATCTGTTCAGCAGTTATCCCCACCTTCTTCCCTATGTTGAGCAACATAGTCTCTGTGAAGGTCAAAGCAGCCTTCTGACCAGCATGTATAGCATCTTGTCGCAGAGCTATTTCCTTCAGCTAGTCCTTCATTTTGGAAGGGAAGCCTTTCTTTCCTGCAGGTTGGGGAGGTATCTCTGGAGCTGAGCTCTTATTAGCTTTAAATAGCTCCTTCACCATAGCTGTGGTGATGTAGGGAGCTGCTCTGATTTTCTGCTGATATTCCCCAAAGTCAACTCCAGCATCCTGACAAAGCATAGTAATGATGGAGGGAATACCCATGGAGTCCTTCTTCCTAGCTAAGAGCTCCATGATGGCATTGCTAATAACATCGCCAACATGGATGGGCATCCCTGTCATGTTGGCATAAACTAGCTCTGCCCTCTTCACTGCCAGGGTAGATGAGTGCATGACTGGCATGAAGGAGCTAAGGATAAAGATGCTCCAGACTTTGGCAGGTGGAAGGAGGTGCTTTGTAGTCAGATTCTTGGGCTGAAGCTTCATGTCAAATTCCCAATTTTCTCCAGCCTTGCATATTGCTTGAAGGATTGGCTTGTAGTCCTTCTCCTTCAAGTAGCTGAAAGTAGTGTAGTCCAGCTGTCCAGGCCTCTTTTCAGGAAGAGGAATGTTGAGGATCCTCTGAATGTTGGCAGGGTTGAAGTCTATCACCTTGCCTCTGACCATGGAATGCCTATAGGGGAAATAATCTCCCTTGACCCTAAAGGCGTTGGCATAAAACTCCTGAGTGATGTCCTTCCACCCATGCCCAGCACATGTGGTGAACAAATCCCATCCCCTTTTCTGGATTTCCTGCCCAAATTGATGGTAGGTCCCTTTTTGCAGGTCAAAATTCCTGTCCTGCACAATGTGTTGTCTGAGAATATTGGCTTTGAAGAAATTCTTGTGAGCCAGGGACCTAAATCTGGGATCATGTGCAGGCTGAGGCCTAGACGAAGAAGCAGCAGCTGTCTTAGCCCTAGGTGCGTTCTTTCTAGGAGTGTTTGCCATTAATCTGCACATAGAAAAAGGGATAATTAAGTGATAGTGCAGAATTAACCATGTAGCAAGAATTTCACACCATTTGGAAATGAAAGAGAGAAAATGCAATCAATTTACAGCACTGTTGCAGAAGAAAGTAGCTACTATGATGAATGAGAGTAGTTACTTTGGCAATAAAGCATGACAAAATGCAGAGGTAGTGTATGAGCATAATTTCACAGCAAATGTGCATGAATCAGAGAAAGTTGAGGCAAATCAGAGTAATTTTGCATACAAAAGTAACTACTATGCTAGTTGATAGTAACTACTTTGGCAGTGACAGAACAAACATTTAGGCATATGCAGAGTGGTCCCTATGTGTTGGCAGGTAACTACTATGACAGCAAAAATAGTTTCAAAATAAAATCCATAATTCATGTGTTTAAAATGCAGAAAAGCACATGTCATATAGTGAATCATGGTCTACAAAAGAGGTTCATTGGATGGTCTGTAAAATTTAAACACAAAGTGCATTTGGATCCAACAAACTAATTCCCAACTTCTAAATCAATCTGTGATATGTAAGGTGCAGAGAACAACTATGCATAGGATGAATTCAACTAGATCAGCTAAGGTAAAAAGCATGTGCAGCAATATGGGTATAATTTCAAATCAAATTTCTAGAATTCAGAACAAGGAGTGAGTGAA